CAAATTTATATTAAAATTTCATTTATTTTTATTAAAAAAGATAATAACTAATATATAATATATTATTAGTTATTTATAATTCATTTTTCTTATTTTAGAATTTATAACAAAATTAAATTTATTATTTGAAATATAAATGTATTTTTACTTGATAAATTATTTATTAAAATATAATTCTTAAATACTATACGTAAAATAACTATTGTTAACTAATTTTAAGATAGATCTTCTATTAAAAATTCATAAACTAATTATATCAATATTAAAAAAATTAGATTATTTTTAACAATTTAAATAGTTTTAAACAGATTATAGGCATATTTTCTATGTCTAAATCTTTGTTTAAAATATTTAAAATCAAAAAATATATTTAAAACTCAATACTTAATTATATATATTTAATGGCAAATTATAGTGATATTTGTTTTATCTGTAAAATTTTTATAGAAAATCAAATTATATTTAAATATTAAAATATTTTATTAGATTTAAAAATAGTTTTAATTTTTTATAAAACTTTTAAGTAATAAATTGTTTAAATATTAAAATTAAAAAATGAATTTCAACTTTGTTTTGATTTTTGATTTTAAAATATTGGATTTATTCTTTAAAATACTAAATTTACTTAATAAATATTTAGTTTTTTAATAAAAAAATTAAGAAAACTTTGCAAAATATAAAATTATATTAATTATATTAAATTTTATTATTAAATTAAATTTGTAACATTAAAGATTTAGATATTTTATAGATTTAAATTGAAAACTTATTAATATAAGTATTAATAAAAAAGATAAAATGAACATTTTATATATTTAAAATAAAATAAGAATTTGTATTTTTCATAATAAATTCTAATCATAATAAAAATAGATAAAAAATCAGTTATTAAAAATCTGAATTTAATATAAAATCTAAAATAGTTAACTTTTTAAATTATTTTATTATATATAAAAAGATGCAATATCTTTTTAAATAGATATAATTAAATATTATTAATTTAAATATTATTTAACATCATATTAATTTAAATTTACATCTATTTATAATAAAAAAAAATAATTTTTTTTTTATTTAATCACTTTCTTAATACTTATTTAAAAAATAAACTATTTTAATATAAAAAAATTCTTAAAATCAATTAAAAAATATTTAAATAAAAAATATAGATCTTTATATTATAAAAAATGAAAAAAATAATTTGAAAATTTTATTAATTAAATATAAAAAAAATTTAATTGTAAAAATTTTGTTTAAATAATAAATAATTTAAATTAACGTCAACTTATATTACCTAAAAATTTATTATATAAAAGTAAAATTAAATAATTTATATTAATTAGATTTTTTTTTATTATTCTATATCATATAATTTAATTAAATTAGAATAAAAATAAAAGTAAACGTTCATATACTTTAATAATTGTTTTAAAATAATAAAACACAATGACAAAGTCAAATTATTGAATATAAGAAGAAATGGTTAAAAGAATCTGTCAAAAACTTGCCATTTTAAGATCGAAAGTACGTGATTCGTGACGTTGAGATGATCATAAGCCTTGAAATATAAACAACGTCATATGATTCAAGTATTTTTTTTTTCTCATTGATTCCCTTTACCACTATCTTTGTTTCATACATTTCACTTTATGGTTACGTTGGTATAATTCTTGTCGAAAATTGAATTATAACATCGTAAACTTAAATTGTTGTTGAACTTTTTAAGAATAAATTTCTTTTATTCTGGTGGTATTCTTGAGTAATTTTTCTTAAAAAAAAAAAAAATTAAAATAAAAAAAAAATTAAAAATTAAATGATTAATACAATAACAGTTACCACTATGAAACAAAAAAAACAAGGAAAAAAAGTTAATAAAGTAATTGGTACATCTTTAATTCACCAACAGCCACATGTACACACGACTCAACAACACCAGCAAAGTCAACAACAATCTCATATTTTGTCTAATCAAGGCTCTCTATCCATATCTCGTAATAAACATTGGAAATATATTTCTTCTTATCACGGACCATGGCTTCAACTTCCTTTAGAACTTCTTGAATCTCTATACATTATTAATAATGATAATGTATCAACGCCTCCACTGATTGATCCAATTATTTTCGGTAATCTAATATCAATTCGTCGCTTAGTAGATGAGGCAGCAGATTTATCTGTTCGTGCAGCTTCTGGAATTTCAACAACGGGAGGAGGACCAACTAGAAGTTCAATGTCTCATACGCGGCAACATCGAATGCGTGAACTTGCTGTTAACAAGTTAGCTCTTGCTTATCGAATCGATGAAATAGCTACAGCAGTTGTAACGATGCAATCTGCTAGTGCAATTGATGAAGTTGCTAGTAGAGTATTAAAAAAGAATGCCACAAATTTAGAGGCGATTTATGTTAATTTCTTTCACGAAAAGATTCCATCAAGGTAATTATAAAATCATTTACATGTTATTTTAATTGATTTATATCATTCCTTTTTGTGTATAATTAATTATTAGAATTAATTAGAGTGCAGCATCTAGCTAGTTTGTGGTGGTGGTGTCTATAGATTAACAAAAAAAATATCTCGATGCGAAGGATGTATCGTTCCCATAAAATAATAATAATAATCATGGGAATAATCATGGGAATAATAATATTTTTTTAAAAAAATTGGCCCAACCTAATATTTCACACTTTTTATCCACCATTATACAAGTAGAATGCTTTCGCAGTCTACATCCACTGACGTACTTGATCAGATCATAGCAACATCTCCAACAACACCAGAGTTTTATAGAACTCGTGGTGTTGTTAAATGTTTTAAAGAGGAGTTTTCAGGCGCTCTCCGTGATTTTAAAACGGCTTTGACACAAGTAAAACATCGTAAACGTGTAAATAATGTTTTACTGGGGAAAAAATCGACTTTACCTCTTCATAACCATCATGGAAATGATGATGATGAATGCACAGGAACTGAAAGTCAGCTGTACTTTTTACGTGCTGCTTGTTATTTACAATATGCTATTAGTTTAATAGATAAAGCTATTCAAAAAGTAGATGGAGTGGAAAGAAAAGATGGTGAAGGCAGTGAATTGAGACTAGTATCTGTTAAAAAAGGTACAGCAAATGGAAATCATCATCATGGATCATATCCCAAATTAGAAGAATATCGAAGAGAGTTCTTGCCAATAATGCATCAGATACGGAGTTTGGCAAACCGGTCTTTGAGAGATTATAATCATTTTCTTACCTTTTATCCTAGTTCTTTACCACCGTTTTCACCTATGAATTATGAAACTGTTTCAAAAGAAACTACACCTATAATTTCAAGAGATTCTTCTCCTTCTAGGTCTTTTAAAGAAAAAGGTGATAATACAAGTTCTCCTAGTAATCATAACGATCATCAGGTTGATCCAAAATTTATTGACAGGACAAGTAAACTTTCAGATAAAGTTGCAGGATTATCACCTGAATCTGGAAGTAACTCCTTTACAAGTTCTTTAAATGTTTCTAAGGAACATAACAACCATAATAATAATAATCATCATCATCACTCGCATCATTTTCACGGATTTCAACCGACTCATACATTTGCTACTTATCATCCGTTGCTTATTGAGGCTTGGTATGCGATAGCTATAAATTATGTGCTTCTTGGTGATCTTCATACCGGAGCTTTGTGGCATTCACGTATTTCTGAAATGCATGAATATATTGAAGGATATCCGGTTTTTCTTCCAGCCAGATCAATGGCACAGGCGGATTACATGGAAGTTTTAGAGAGAGTAAAAAAAGTTACTAGTTTATCACAACATGAAAAGTTAAAAGAATTAATAGAAATGGTTAAGAAAAAAGAAAAAGAGAGAGAAGAGAAAGAACGTGAATGGGTTGAAAAACATCATCATAAGATGTTTTTGGCTGCAGCAGAAGAAAGAGAAATGTACGAAGGAAAAAAATCCGGAGTGAAAATTGGAAAAAAGTCCAAGAATTTGAGACAAGTAAATAATAATAGTAGCGTTACACCCGTTATTGGTATTGATGGTCAAAGACATCATCCTTGTTGCCCTCTTGCACCTGGAAATCATTCATCTTCAAGAGAGCCTAATCATAATACTCATAATTCCGGCTCATCATCATCAGCATCATCGAATGGTAATTCTAATGGTAATCCAGGGCCAAGGCAATATCCTTTACATACTCAACGAGCCGATTCAGTTATGATGTGGTTAAGAGCCATTATTTTAAGACAAGAAAAAGAAAATGAAATCAAGGCAGCTACTATTATTACGACTGTGAATGCGAATGGTGAAATTAAACCCACAATAAATGGTACGACAAATACGAAAATCGTTCATGATGTTAAGTCTTAAAAGAGAGGATCATTTATAAAATTTTTATTTGTTAGAGTGAGAGTATTTTATTTATATATATATATTATTATTAAATTTTTTTTTTTTGATAACAAATATATATATATATATATATATATTTATAATGATTCGTAAAAAAAAAAATAAATAAATTTTAATAAATTAAGTATTGAAGGTTGGTAAAATAATAGTATAGATTTTTTTTTATATTATTGTTTCTTTTAATATACAAACCTTATTTTGGTAAACTTTACAATATATTTATTATAATAAGAATATATTTATAAATACCCTTTTTTTTTTTTTTTTTCCTAAATAGATTAGTTAAGCCAAATCTATTATATTCACAGTATGTTGCATGCAATTTGCGTGCACATTTGTTATATGTAACATATCTGTATAATTAAAATATGAAATATATTTTAATAATATATACATATATATATTATTGAGATCTTAAAAAAAAAAAAATTAAATTTATTTATTTCTATGGTTTTTAAATAATGGCAACAAAAAAAAAATGGAATTAACTATTTAATATTCGACTCTGACTTATTGAAATTGATTAATTACTAATACAAATAATGAAAATGATTTGTTATTATGCACTTACACCTCCCTCTTCCCAATACTTATTTTACAAAAAATACTGTCCAACACCGACCCTAGCAGGAATTGATCTTTCTTGATCAGGAACCGCATTAAAAATTTTAAAACTACTTTCATCAATTTGTAGATTTTCTTTAATTTGCATAATTGACGCTACATTACCACATCTATAACAATAATTAGGCGCAGACCAAACTGTAACTAAGTTATCATCAGGAAACATATATTTATATCCTTCTTGTACTAATTGATGTGCTCTTGCTATTAAACTTAAATCATTAATTTGATTAAACTAGTAAAAAAAATTTTTTTTTTTTCGGCGTTAATGAGAATTACAAAAATTGAAAAAAAAAAATAATAGTTATCGGAGAGTCTACATGTCCTCACCTCATTCGTTACTTTGGCTCCAAACAACCAACCGGCACCTCGAGGACTTACAGCCCATGTTTCAATATCTTCAGGATCAGACCACATCAAATCTAAAAATAAAATTTTGTAAAAAAAAAAAAAGTATAAGAAATGAAAATTTATCTTAATAAAAAAAATTGAATACCGGACATAATGTCATATGACTTGTAACGTGATTTTCCTAAAGGCTATATTCTTATTGCACATACCACAAAAAGCACCCTCATGAGGAATTTCTTGAGCTCTAGGTATTGTTCTTATTTGATCTAATGTTCTGACTTCAGGGGACAATCCACCATGAACACATAAAACACGTCCATCTACGATCTATTTTTTTTTTTTTTTTTTTAAAAAAAAAAAAAATAAAATAAAAATAAAAATAAAATAAAATTATTTATATTCGATGCAGAAGGGTATTATGGTAATAAACTATCCTTACAGCTGCTAACGTTAAATAATCAAACACTTGACAACAATATTTCCAAACATTTGGATTTCCATATTTTGTTTGACATTCATCTATAGATGCGTATTATATATAGAATATAAATTATTTCAAAATAGAACAATAATAATAATAATAATAATAATAATAATAATCCGTTTGTAAAGAATTACCGTAAAATCCATACACTTGTGTGATTTGCCTACTTTCATGGTTACCTCTCAGAAGTGTAATTTTGTCCGGATACCTACATATAATAAGGGTTACCGAAAGAATTTTAAATAAATTGACAAAATAAATTTCATACAAAACCTTGCTTTCAAAACCATCAATAAAGTAAATGTTTCTAAACTATAATAACCCCTATCCACAAAGTCACCCTAAATTTTTTTAAAAAACATATTCGATTGAAAATACGTATAAAAGGTAATCCGATTCACAATAATTCAATTAAAATTTCTGACCATAAATATATAATGAGTATCAGGAATTTCTCCACCAACATGAAATAATTCTAGCAAATCATAAAACTGCCCATGGATGTCTCCACATACCGTAACTGGTGTGTGTACAGGTTGTATATTTGATTCCTCCATTAATAATTCTTTAACCTATCATAATACACAAAAAGTAATTTTTTTTTTTTTTTGAAAAAAAAAAAAAAAAAGGTAAGTTTAGGACCATAAAGTATAGAGAAATACTTAGACTTACCATTTCACAGAGCCTTTTCATATCAGGCTCAGGTAAATACTGACATTTCCGTATAGTAACTAACCATTCATCTGGTCCGGGCATTTTTTATTAATTTTCGTTGGTATTTTTTAAAAAAGAAAAATTTGAAGGAACGACATTTATTCGAGAATTTCAACGGTTATGCTAGTGAGATTTTGTAACACGAGATCTTGTGAAACATTGTTTCTCCTTATGAAATGATGAAATACCAAGATTCATTTTATTTTAAAACTTATAATGTTCTGTACTACACAAATAATTATATATATACAATAAAAAAAAATAAAATAAAAAATAAACATTTCTTTTACTTTAAATACCGAAAAATTTATCCATATTACTAATTGTATCTTCAATCGGAGTATAATTTTTTGCATTACCAGCAGATAATTTCCCAATTTCAAATACATTCCAATTACCCTCAAAAGAATTTCTTGCGGCAACGCACATTATAACAGCTTGTGAAGAAGCAGCGGATTGAATAGTATAAGAGCATAATTGTATATTGGGTTTTGAAGGATCAAACATTTTAAAAGATGGATTTGGAAAATGACCTATATTTGGTGAATTCCATGAACTTAGGATAAAATATAATTTTGATACTGTTGGTGGTAATGATGCTAGATTTGCTGTTATACGATGATGACCTAATATAATTGATAGAACAAGTTTTAAAGAAGGAGATAATTTTGTTTTAAATGAAATAAATATTTACGTACCCCTCCTCTCAGCGTGATCCATAATGTCACCAGAATGTGACATATTAGGGATATCATGAAAACTTGTAGATTGATAATCAAAACGACGCCAAAGTTGACCTGCATTATTTCCAGTACCCGTATAAAGCAAACAGGTACCATCTAAGTAATCACATCCACTTGATGGATATCCCCAAAATAAATCAAAGGTTAATGCACTAATGGATAATTCTTTTGATATAGAATATAATAATACGATAAGTTGTATATGACTTTCTGATACTATATGATATTCTGATAATTGATTTTGAATTCTTCCTTGATTAGCATATGTCTAAATATCCAAGGAAAAAAAAAATTTTTTTTTTTCAAAATGAAATTTTTTTTTAAAAAAGGAAAATGTGAAATCTCTCTTCAAATAACAAACTTACTTGTAATTCAACACCTTTATGAATTAATTTTTGTTTATTAGTTTCGATTTTAGTTTGACCTTTAATAGCTTCCTTTAAAGCTCCAACAGTTTTAATAGTTTCCAATCTAAATTTTAACTTGGTACCGTTTAATAATACAACATAAAAATCCCCTGCAGTAGCATTACCATGTCCGTCAACTTCACCATTTTGCGATATCTTTTGTGAATGTAATTCTGAAATATTTTCAATATTAATTCTAAATGGCGCTTTTTCCCACAATATATTTAGGTTTTCCAACTCTTTTGCACTAATATTTGATTTACATTCTGGACATTGTTGTTGTGCGTCTTTAGTATTAATAATATTTATTATACACTTTATTTCCAAGATAAGGAAATTAGAATTAGTCAAAATTAAAACGATTATTAAGATGGAAATAAAATCATTTTACCTTCAAACAAAAAGTAGAGATATGAAAACAATTTTGGCTAATAATATCATTTGGGAATTCTCTAGATAATTTATCAATTTTACAATTTGAACACTTCATTCTTTTAAAAAAAAAAAATTAACAGGAAAGACTGGTGGTTTTCAAAAGAGGAAAAAACATACAATGGGGATGTTTTGTTATAAGTCCGAAAAATATCTAATAAAAACATTTTTGGTAGCTTGTACTATAAATAAAAAACTTGAAAAACAAGATTTGATTCATGTTTATCATGTTTATCATTTAAGGGATAATGAAATAAGCAAACAATGACTTATGCATAATAATACTTTCATTTTTTCCCACCAATTTCTAATTTATACCTTACACTCAACCTTGCTTGACAATTTTTTTTCAATAAAAATATGAAGTGTGTTAAGTGTAATCATGATAAACTTTCCAAAGAGTTTCCTTCAACAACAATTACAGATCGTTGTAATCATATTCCTGCCTATTGTTTAAGAGTAAGTTACTAACCTATTCTTTTCTTTCTTTTTAATAATTACATTTAAACTTTTATCTTGTCCCTCTTCGATATTATAGTGCTTAATAGCCAATTTAAATTTAAAAGAAAAACCTGTTAAATGTCCCGAATGTAATGAGAAATTAAATCAAGAGGAAATAAAATTTTTAACATTAGCATGGGACAAAGCACCATTTAAAATTGATGTTGAAAGTATTGGAAACGTAAGGACACCACAAACTTTGACTGCAGACGGAGCTAGTAATGCGACAGGAGACATTTACATTGTATTGTTAAATGGACAAAAATCTAACATACCATTCAATCAAGTTAAAACGGTCACTGCTTTGAGGAAAGAAATTAGACAAAAGTTAAGGGTTGATGAGGGCAAACAAAAGTTAATTTATAATGGTGTCGAATTGCAGGTAATTTATTTAATACCTTTATCAATACTAAGTTGGTTGAATTTTATCCATTAAATTTTGTTTGATTCTCTTCTATCTTGCTAGGATCGAAAAACTGGACCAACGCCAAGTACTTTACAAGATTATAATATAGGACCAGGAAGTCATATTCAATTGATTGTCGTACTTTATAATATTACACGTGCAGAGTCCATCAAGAATTTAACGTTTGATTTATTTTGGGGCTATCCTGCAAATGGAAATCAAGATTATTTGGATGGAACTTGTTTACTCTACATGGGGTAAGCATAAGGTTTTTTTTTTTTTTTTGCTTTCAAGAATTTCATTTACAAAAATTGAACGTTTCGTACTGATTTATCATCGTATTCTCAGGGACACCTTTTATAGAAAATATGATTATGCATCAGTATTTTATCCATCGTTTCCGCATATGAAACATTCAGGTGATTTAATGGATAATGCAAATAAAAGAGGTCATCAGCAAATTACGGCTAATTTAGATCAATTACCAGCTGAAGTGACACAGTTATATTTCATTCTAAGCTCATTCAAATCTCCCACCATTGGCCATTTTCAAACTCCAAGTTTTAATTTGGTAGATCAAACTCAACCTGATAAACCATTATGTACTTATCAATTAGATCAAGCAGCCAATTCTCAAGCTGTTATTATGTGTTGTGTTACTAGAGTTGGCCAGGGCATGTGGCAAGTTATTCAAATCGGTAAATTGTCTAATGGTAATGCTGAAAATTATGATCCTATCGAATATAGTATTATACAATGTGGTTTATTCGGATAAAAAGAAATGTATATATTCTTTTTTATTCAGTTGTACTTTTTACATTAATTTGTTATATTTTTGTATGATTTTGTTTATATATATATATATATGTTCATTAAATAAATTGCGTATTATTTCTTTTATAATTTTTTAAATAAAAAAAAGAAAGTTGTTCATTTAACCCAGTATCATCAAAAAATTTCCCATCGGCCGGCCGGTATTACGGCATTAAAAAATTGAACCAAATGACAAATAAATGTAACAAATAGGATTTTCCTTCCTAGGATTCATAGTAAAATTAGTAAAATGAAAAACAAGATATAACAACATAGTGTCAAGTTCAGTTTATTATACTTATTTTTATTTCATATAATCATTAACATATAAAAAGAAAGTAAAAAAATTTTTTACTATAAGTTTTTAAAATATAATAATTATATTTTTAAACTGATTATTTAAAATTCATTTATACTTAATAACATAATAACCAAAAAAAAAAGATATATTTTATTATTAATATAAGGATTATTAAATTATTGAATATTTTATTAATTAGCAAAAATATTAAAATTTAAAACTAATTCGATTTATAAAGAATTAAGTTTAATTTAAATTTAAAATATATAGGTAAATTTAAACTACACAGTGAAATTCGATAAACCGGATCTATAAAAATTCAGTATAATGGATTTTTAGTATATCAAAAATTTTTCGCTACGGATATCCCGATAAACCGGAATTAAGATTTGATTTACCGAATCACGTTACTTCAATTTTATTGGTTCATGATCACTTGCTCAGGTTTATCGAATCATTTTTACTATAGCTGGTTGGAAAATTGATCCGTTATAGCGAATATCAAGCTTTTACTAGTAAACTCCGGTATATCGAAAATATTTTATCGAAGATCCGGTTTATCGAATTTCACTGTGTAATTTATTTTTGTACATATAATACTAAATTGTAATGATTTATTAATTAAAATAATTTAAATATTTTTAATTAAATAATACTTTTAAAAATATTTTAAAACTTTAAAAACTTTACCTATTAATATTATTTTTAAATATTGAAACACCTGTTATATATTAGGAGAGCCCAATAAATAGATCAATTTATTTAATTTATTTGTAATATAAATACCAAATACTAGATGTTGGCAAGGTTATTCATTTATTATATTATATTTATAAAAAAAAAAATTCATAAAATTAAAGTTTATTACTTAGCATAGATATCGACATAAATTACTTGATCTTAATTAACCAAAAAAAGTATTGCTGATTTTGTATTATTAACACGAAAGCCACACGTCACATCACTGATTAATTATTATGTGGCACGTGCATCAAAACTTGTACAAATGTGGAAAAATATATCGATAGTGGAAAATTTTTTAATTTTCAATTACAGAATATTTTTTTTTTTTTTTTAAAAAAAAAAAATGACTTTTGAAGGAATTTCCACGTTTCAAGACCTTCTACAGATATTTGATCAGCCATTTGAAAACATAGCGGTTGCGTTCAAAGGGAAAGTTCCTGAACAAAAAAGGTTTGAAGCCGCTTGTGCGTTGATGGCGTTGTTAGAAGATGGCGAGTTGCAGGTTCGTTTAGCGAACAAAGCCATTAAAAGTGCTTGTTCTATACTTGTTCTGGAATAAAAGACTCTTAACACTTGAAAATCAAAATATGTTTGGATTTGGCGTTATTTTATAGGCAAACGAAAGAGTTGTGGCGCTTTATATTCTCTACAACTTGTACAATGTTGTACCTATTCATCAAAATCCATTCCTTATACTATTTTTAAACCTTTACAAAGCTCTTTTTTCAAATCTCACTTTAATTAAAACCAATCATGATATGTTGGTTGAATTTCGTGTAGAAGCAATGATCTTGGCTGATAAGGGTTCACAGGTACCGATCCTTTTTCGTCAATTGAAATAATCCTCATCCACGTATCATATTTAATCAATATATAACAAATTAGTTAGCTGATAAGTCACCCGTGGACGTATATAAGCAATTTACGCATGGTGATAACTCACTGATAATTGATACGGAAGAAATAAACGTAGCGGAATTTGAATATTATCTTAAACAAGAATTTGATGTACAACTACCATCAAAAGAGGAGTCACCTGAAAGGTTCGTTACCTAAAATGGGTGTGGTATTAGGGATTTGTGTTTATATAAATTTCATATTATCATGATTAGTAGGCATGATGACTCAACACGGCCTTGGTCATGGGCCGCAATTGACGAGCTGGATGTTAGTGAAAGTTCTTATGCTCCAACTCGGACTCCTGACATTCAACATGAGGTATTATTATATCAAAAGTACATTAACGGAATTACAAGGAATTTTTTTGTTTTAATATTAATATTTCTTATAATTTAACTAGCTTCATCGGTTAGGTATTCATGATAATGAACAAGATATAGAACAGGATTATGATTTAATAACAGAATTTACGAGTCAAGATGAATCCCGTGCTTTGATGAATAAGGCATTGCAGCGGGCTTTAACAATACCCGAAGAAGAGGTTAGTAATTAATGACTTATTTGTATCAATTTCTTCATATTGACCATTTAATTAAACGATCATATTATTGTTCAAAGTATATTCTGGGCCAATTTGAAAAGAATGATAAGTTGGTTTATCAATGTGATCTCTCACCAGAAAAGCTCCCTGATCTGGTTGAAAATAATCCTAGGATTGCTGTAGAGGCATTGTTACAACTTAAAACATCTCCTCAAGTTTACAAGCAAGTATCATTAAATTTTAGATTTAAATTTTTGTGATGTCCTTACTCTAGATACTAAGACCTAGATTAAACCTCCAAATAGATTTTTGAATATGCTTGTAGCAATTAATGATCCAGAACGGTCCCAACAGTCATCTATGGAACCAGTAAGTAGGATGAGATCTTCCATGGAAGTTGTAAATCGACTAACAACTTCTTTTCCACTCCTTCCCGAGTTTTTACATAAGTACCTTTCTAATTGTGTAAGAGCTTGTGAAGAAAGCCAAAATCGAAATATACAGGATCGTCAAGTTCGCTTGGTAAGTTGGGGTTTTTTTTGTGTGTTATGTACGTTATGCGATTGGTTGATGAATAAAAATAAATTATTATTATTATTTTTTTTTTTTTTTTTTTTATAGGTATGTGTATTCCTTCAGTCACTTATAAGAAATAATATAATAGATGTCAATAGATTCTTTATAGAAATACAAGCATTTTGCCTTCAGTTTTCTCGAATAAGAGAAGCTGCAGGTTTATTTAGATTTTTACTAGATTTACAGAGGAATTCAGTTGTTGATAATGCAGTATTAAATGTTGATATTGGTGAAGACATTAATGAGGAACATAACCTTGATGATCCAGGAAAATGCGATTTATCATAAAAAAAAAATAATAATAATAATATATATATTATATACTTTGTACAAAGTGTAATAGATAATTGTAATATAGAAAAAATATATATTTGTTTACTCTATAATATTATTTTATAAGGAAAGAATATTTAATGAAATATATTATTGTGTATATATGTTATATATATATAAATATTAAAAGAATTTCTTATTTTGCTAATTTTAATTATAACATTTCAAAAGGTTTTTAAGTTATGGTGAATTATCTTAATACAACCGCAGCGTGTCTTAATCCAAGATAATCTTGGATGACACCGGGCGCCAACTGTTTAATTTCTTTATATACCTCTGCAGAATGGTATCGAAGACGCGTTTTTGGATCCGTATATTTTGCCTACATAAAGATAAAAAAGAATAAGTAATTACGTATAAAACATAATGGACAAACTTGGTGATGGTAATTTTGTTTACTTCTAATCCCGTAATGTCACAATATTTCTTTTGCGGCTTAATTGAAGGCGGTGCTTCTATATTAGAATCTAAAAATAAACAAATAGATATAAATACATTATTAGTAATCGAATCAAAATAATCTTAAATAAGTTATTTACAAGTTGGTACATCTAAAGGCGTATTTAAATTTCTTTCGGCGACTAGGATTTGTTTAAGAGTTTTAAATTTTTTTGGAGTTTTATAATAAGGATTTTTAAAGAGCCTCGGTACAAGATGAAGATTCACTGGAGCTGGAAAGCTACTTTCAGAAGTAGAAGATTCTGTAGAAGGAATATGATCGATAGTTGAAGCAACCGAAGTTAAGTAATTATTCGATATCACTACTGGTGCTGGTGGCGGTGGTGGTGGTGATGGTGGTGGTGGTTGTTCAAAAGCGGTAAAAGTATCAACTTCCATTTGTGAAGAAATAGTATTAAAATTATCGGATTCTTCCACTTCCATTTGTATTGAAGTGCTTGTACTATCGTCAATCTCTTCGCTTTCTTCAATTTCTATTTGTGTAGGGGAATAAGTTGTTTCTATCTCATATGATCCGTCAGCTTCTATTCCTTCTATAACAGTTGCTTCGGTTTGAGCTGCAGCTTCTGCTGCAGCTTTTTCCTAAATATTTAAACAGTTAGTAAATTCATTCATGAGCTGGATAATATTGATTGTCTCACTTTTGCAGCTCTTGTTACACTTCTGGTGGTTGTTTTCTTTGGAGGTCGTCGTGTCCTAAATGAAGAATAAAAAATAATTCATTTACTAAATAAATTCCGTCAAATAATTAAAAAAGAATTTAAAGAAATTTACATTGTCCTGGGAATATAGAAGCGAATTGTTGAGTTTGAATTTGACTTACCTCTATATTTATAAACTAGAGTCGCGTGTGATTTTCACGATTTATCATTGATTATAATTCTGGTCGAAATTAACGTTATTTCAGTTATAGATAATAAGCATCCAATAACACAAATAAACTTGTGAAACTTTCCCCCTTACTTTCACCACCAACTTTAAGAATATATAGAGGTTAGATGAGTTGAAATGTTGAGGAAAGAAAAATATAAAAGAAAGGAAGTGTTGAGAAAGATGAAAAAAGAAAATTGACGGGGACTGAAATATTTACTAAAAAAGGTAATGAACAAAATACGTAAAAAAATATATATGTTATTTGGTTGTTGATATTCTGTTTACAATTTAATTAATTATCTTTGATAAAATTCACATTAATACGAAAATATAGTGATTACTCCAGCAACCTCAAGGAGATCCCTTGCTATTCATAAAGGGACAATTATTATTCTTCTAATATTTCAGTACAACAGAAGTCAAGCAATTTATTGGTCTTCAACTTTAACAGGTAACAACATAGTTCAAATTTATATTATAATTAGCCAACGGCTTTACTTCCATTTCTAAACTAATTCCAACGGTCTTATTAATTTATACTACTATTATAGGTCAAAATTTCAGTTGAAAAACTCAAGCAGATACTTGAACCTTACATAGTTGATACAGAAAGTCAACTTCTTGAATCAATGTGTGATGTTTTAGATATTTCAATATATTTGAAATTATGAATCGTGAAAATGAGATCAAGCCTCAAAAAGTTATGCCTGTATAAACAGCAGGGGGGATGCATTTGCAAGAACTTAAATGATTGGTTAGATGCTGCCTTATACTTGGATTCGTGTTCGTTAATTTCGCACCCTCCAAGGCCTCTCAATCCAAAACAAATTAAACGGATTTTAATATTTATACTTGGATAATATCCTTATTAAAATCCGTTTAATTTGTTTTGGGTTCAAAGGTCTTTGAGGACGCGAAATTAACGAAAACGAATCTATATGGATAAGTTATAATACATTTATACTTAATTGGGTTCAAGCTCCTAAACAACTAAATCCTAAACAAGTAAACCGGAATTTAATAAGGAAGGGCTGGGTTCAATCACCTAGACAGCTGAATCCAAAACAAATCAAACGGATTTTAATAAGGTTGTGAAGTTTTTAAATTTATATAGAAAAATAGTTAAAATTTAATTTAAAAAATATTAATTTTTTTAAAAATTTAAAAAAAAAAAAAAAAATTAAGTTCGGAATTATTGTAATATCGTTAAAATTTAAAAATTAACTTTTTAATTATTTAAAGTAACTAGTTGTTAACCCGTTGCTCCGCAACGGGGGTATATTTTTAATAAATCAGATTTTAGATCATGTGATTTATAAATGTCGTGTGATTTTAATAGTAAAAATAGATGATCTGCGGAGACTGACTATAAACGGAATGGTTATTTATACAGTCAATCTAAAGGTCAGCGATATGCAGGTATTTTTTTATAATATAAGATATAAATTTTATATATTAAAGTAGCTCTGGTTCGGAGCTTTCAAACAAGAATTTTCTCGTGATTATAGAACTTACATAGCGTCGCCCGTAAAAAATGGTAGCCGGATTTTATTTGCCGGGTATTTATTATTAGGGTTAGTATTAGAGTTAGGGTTTGGATTCGGATTAGGATTAGGGTAGAATTAGGATTAGTTTAAGGGTAAAATAAGCTACTATTTCTACAATTAACAATGCATTTAATCCAAAAAAGAAGTCATAGATAATTAATTAAAGCCTTTTTCTTTATAAATATTCCTTAAAAAAAATAGATTAACTTCTTTTTTTTAAAAAAAAACACTTCAGAAAAGAAGATGCAATTCTTTAATTCTTATCTTCCATCAAATATATTTACCTAATGTTTTTGATAAACATTTTTTTTACTTTAAAATTATTTTAATCAAAAATCTGTAACAATAATAATGAATAAAATTACAGAGGATTATTCAAGAAATGTTGTAATTATTCTTTTTCTTTTATCAAAATACAAAACTTGTATCAATTAATTTTTTGAAACATATTAATAATTTAACAATAGAAGAAACACTTTTAACTATTTAAATAATTACAAATATTTCCTATTTTTTATCAAGATTATTTCTTTCAGATTCTATTTCATATATGAAAAAATATTAAAGAAGTTTTAAAATAATAATATTATAATTAAATTATATATTATATTTAGCTTATATTATAAATTTCATTAGGTAAATATAAATAAAATTATTAAATTTTTAAATAATTTAAATTTTTATTTAACTTTTATAATACAGTCAGAACTTGATATAATGATTTGAAATAAACTGATTTTGGCCCATAATGAATTTTTTTTCAAACCAAATTCACCTATAATTAATTTTATCATAATATACTGATTTTATTATAAATTTCATGATATAATTATACTAAAGTCTAGTTATTAACCAGTTATATGTATTTATTCATGATAAATTGATAATGATTTTTTTTTTATATAACGATCATCATTATAAGAAGTTTTTTTTAATTCTATATACCAACTTTTTATCAATCTTCACTAAATATAGTAAAGTAACATATCTATTAAATATATCATAATTGCAAGAATAAAAAATTTTGTTTTTTTCGTTAACTCTTCCATTACCATTATATCTACTGAAAATAAAACTAAGCGAATTACTTTATCTGTAGCTCAAAAGTAAGAACTTTATCAAAAAAAATTGATAATCCATCTATGTTGTTAACGGAGCAATTGGCCAGTCATAATGAAGTTACATGAATGATGCAGTATAATGATCTCCTAATCTAGAATTCTGAAAATACTAAGAATTCTGCAAATTCTGAAAATACAGGAGATTTACGTAATTCTGAAGATCTTCCAAATACTGATGATAATCATAATTTTACAAATTAAATAAAATCTAAGAATATTTAGCATTATACGTATTTTTAATATTCTAAATTTTATTATTATTTTTATTTTATCTTATATTTTTATTATTTTACATATTTTTATTATTCTCAATGTATTTATTTTACTTATATTTTATTTTGCTAAATTAGTTAGTTTATAGAATAGTAAATAGTTAGCTGTGACAAACAAAATTTTATATAAATAGATAAACTTTTTACTTATGTTATAAATTAACTCTTTTGCAAACTGAAGTAACTTTTTTGCAGATTTGTAAACTTTTTTGCGAATATGAGTTTCAATATTAATAAAGGAATCAATTCAAAACTTATATCTTTTTGCCTCTTCGTATCTTCATATAGTCTGACGTGATCTCTACACATTATTTATAATTGAGTTCGTCATCTGAATTCTTTAAATAAAATTGTCTATAATCTTGTCTTTCAAGTTTTTATACTTGATAGATTTGTTAAATCTAACGTGTAAATCTGATAAAGTTAAAAGTTAGGCAGATCCTAACGTCTTGACTGTAGTAAACCGCAGTTAAAAATTTTGAGTAAAAACTTGATAACGTAACCACTTCAAGTTAAAGAATTTCATGATGATAATGTAAAATACTGTTATTACAATATTGCACCTAATATGGTTAGTAATATTTTAAAAAGAAAATCTGAATATTTGTTTGTTTCTAGCTCTGAACTAGAAAGGAAAAGGTATAGATAACCTATATATAAGGAAATAAATAATGCAGTTAGAATTTAGATATCACAATTATTAGTCACAAGCAAATCTTAAGAGAATATTTTATGAAAAAACTAAATAATTTGCAGAAAGATTTGATATTACAAAATTTACTGTTTCTGCAGGCTGGTTAACAAACTTTAAAAGGAAATATAATTTTCAATCTTATGTTAAATCAGGTGAAGCTGCTAGTGATTCTTCTTTAGAAAAAATTAATAAATATAGACAAAAAATTACTGAAAAATTATATGAATATGCATTAGAAGACATTTATAATTGTGATGAAATAGGTATTTAAATTTATTATCATTTAATATTATTTACAATTAAAAGGTTTAATTTATTTACTATTTATTGTTTTAGCATTATTTTGGCAATTAAAACTTTCAAAAACTCTTGTACAAGGTCCTGTAACTGGATCTAAAAAATCAAAAAATAAAGTTACTATTTTGCTAATATGTAATGCTACTAGTCAAAATAAGCTTAAATCATTATTCATTCATAAATACAAAAATCCTTGTCTATTACGTAATATAACTGTTGAAGATTCTGTATAATATTATTAGAACAAAACTGCATAAATGCAATAATTAATTTAGCTTAATTATTTGAAAAAATTAAATAAATTGATGTATACTCGTCATAGAAAAATTTTATTATTAGATGACAATGCTCTAACACATGACAAACAACATGAGTTGCCTTCTTTCAGTAATATTGAAATTTATTATTTATCACCTAACACAACTCCATATTTACAACCTTTGGATCAAGAAATTATTAATTTTTTTAAAGTAAGTATTCTAAATTTACTTTTAAAATTATATAGTATTTTAGTATTTTTATTAA